ATTCACTTTATATCTTTTTCTAATTCCTAGAATTAGAAAAAGATAAAAAGTAAATTAAATCGAGATTAAAATTAATCTCTATGGTAGAAATAAATGCTTTAAATCAATTATAGCTCAATTGTTCTGCGCTTATTACCGTTCTGCAGTAACGACTTACATAATATTATATTATTCATATAATATATTAGATTGTTAAATTTTTTTAATCTGTAAACTCTCTCTGTGACATTTTAAAAATGCGTAATTTTGTGTACGGCATATTGATTTAGCGAAATCTAAAAATATAACTTTTATCTCGCATTTCCATAATTCACTACTCATTAATGTAAATTTGAACGAAAGGGATTCTATCCGCCTTTTTTATAGTCGGAGCTATGCTATTCGCATTTTTACGCGATGGATTTAGTAATCGCACATTAGCTTTCGCAATCCAGACGGAATCTGGATTCGCAGACAGAAACGACCGGCGATATATTCCATCTGTGATCTCTCGCCAAGGACATCCTTGTATTTATCCAATTACCTAAGCCTCATGTTTCATCTACGAAGGCCTATAGATCCTCTTTATACAATTTATTTTGTCATAAAATGTTGTCGGCATTTCTTTCGCTTGAAAATTAACGTGTTATATCGAGACGAACGAATTGCCATAAAAACTTTTAAATGTTCTTCTCAGAAGGCCGTGACGAAGTGCAGATATAGTAATATTGAAACAGCATTGACTTACTGTTTTTCATGCACAAATTGCCAAGCAAAATTTCATGTTTAACGTTTTAATTTATTGTAATATAAAGTTGTCTAATTACATCATTGAATTTATCTTTTTTATTAATAATAAGAATTTTATTAATAATAAGAATTTAGAAATAGCTTGTTATATATTTAAATAATTTCACATATATCTTAAATTTAGATGAAAAAAAAAATAATCTTATTCTTTTAAAGTAACGTCAAATTCTCATTAAAAAAAATACATTTATATGTTATCATAATTTTACCATAAAAGCTTGACCTAATTACATCGAAAGGGTGCGGTATGTCAAGTATACGAAGTGTACATTTCGCACGTGTATGATGAAATAGCTCTCAAAAGTATTTCATCATCCGAAATGAAAATCTTGTTAGAAATACATTAAAAATTGCATCCAGCGTCGCGACGCGAATTTCATTCTCTACGATCTCCCTGCCGAGCTACAAATTAGCAAGTTCAAGCGCGCGTCCTCGCGTTACGCGCAAAATATAGATGTATGCGCAAAGTAAATGATGTTGGAGAAAATAGCGTGCATATCACCAGGTGGCCTAATTGTATTCCATGGGAGTGGCATATTCGACCCATTCGACTGTGCTTTTCCTTATCGGCGATGCGACCGCGCAGAGACGCACGTGGTGATTTAAAGTAACGTATCCATAACACATAGGAGCGAATAAAACTTTGCAAATAGATTGAAATACATTTAATTTCTCATCCTATTAAACGAGAAACAAAGTTTCTTAAGAAACGTCATTAAGGAAAGATCGATTTCTAATTGGAAGATAAAAATTTTCAAAGTTTATAAACAGTATTTGATACTCTTTCTCTAATAAAATTTGCGCTGAGGCATTATTTTAATTGAAATAAAGATATTGTTGATTATTTGTATAAAAATTTTTTTTTAAATTTCAGTTGACTTAACATGCAGTATCTTGTGTCTATATAATTCTCATTGTTAATATCAACAACAACATGGTGTGGATTTATAATCCCTAGTATTTATATCAACACCATCATGGTGTGGATAAAAATTTAAAATCCATAGTGTTAAAATCCACGTTATATTGATATTAATTGATAATTGAGATCGACATAATGAAAATTGTATAGAGGCACGTTATTAAATCCACACCGACATTTTTTTTAGAACTATACAAGATTACGTAACGAAATATTAATATACGAAAATTAATAAACGAGATATTAATGAAATACATAAAGATATATCGTGTATATCTTTAAGCATACGGACTATGTTACATAGCAATAGATTATGTACGTCGACATTGCGGCGAAGGGTAATTTAGACGTTAAGATAAATTTCATAAGCCCGCATCATCAAAGTCGCATTCGCTGAGAGACCGATCTGCGGCCGTTCTGCCGGCTCCCAGCTGAGAGAATATTTCGAGGGACCATCCACCGACATAAATTCCGCGCGGGGCAACGTGGCCTAATTATATTTCAAGGGAGTGGCGGTTCAGCCACTCGGAGGTGTCATCCCTATATACCGGCTTGTGCCGGAAGTTCACACGCTCGGAGGAGAGCATTCGCGCGGCGCAGAATCGGGCCTGCGTGTAACATCGCAACGCCGACTACGGTCACCATGGTTACGTGTCAAGTTCTCTCATCCCCTTGCCACCCCGCCATGGACCATCCCGGTCTGCCGGGAGAAATGCAGGCTTTCAACCCTCTGTATACCCGCAGCACCGGGGCGGCTCCCGTGCGGTGCAGACGTTCGTTCCGGTTGTTCCTAGGTCGTGTAACAAGACTAGAGACTTCTCGTCTTGGTCGTTTCAAGCATGTCATCAGTTCTTTACGTTCGTCTTAAAGAGAATCCGAGAAGAGTCATAAATGACAGTAGTCGAGCGGTGAGAAGTGGCTTGATCGAAAGTAACGCTCGATGAATCGAGCGTGACCACGAGAGGGTGCGTACCTTGAAACGCGAATGACCTTGAGCGCACACCTGCAAGCTGGAGCGCCACGGCAGGTGAATTGATTGGCGGTAGGGTGGGATCGTGCAAGCTAATCATGCGGCGTGGTTATGTACGGCGCTTTGAAGGCTACCCGTTTCATGTCGTGACGAGTGCATACGTTTGCGTGTCGAGCTGATAAGAGATTAAACTGTGAAATATTAAAGAATTGAGTCATTAAAGTGTGACACATTTGCATTAAAAATCCAAATGTTATAACGATACAAATTTCAAATGTTATAACGATAGCAGTGCAATCAAAAAGTGCAAGCAATAGAGGTGAATAGAACTTATGTTCTACGTTATACAGATAAGAGAAATTATATAAAGTATAATATTTAATATATATCCGTTATATCGATCTATTGATGTTATATGAAACAGATCTATAATCAAAAATGTAGAAAGGCTCAGTAAAATAGAATTAATTGTTACATAAACACGATCTACAGTGGACTCCACACTGTTGATATAAAGATATATTTAGTACAAAATACAGAAGTGCTCAAACAGTAATAATTAGTAATCTAAATAAACTTAGATACATCTTTGCAATAAATATAAAATATTTTGACTTATGTGATCAAAAAGGAGCAAATCGTGTTTATATGATATTTGACCCGGAAGTAACGTTCAATGCTCTACGCCGTATCGGAGAAAATCATTTGGCAAACATCGCGGTTTTTCGCGGAGGAGGGAAAAAGGAGAAAGAAGAAAAGGCGGTGCCCAGTGCAACGGAATGAGTATGGTGCATCTCATGTTGATACACGTGGTTCGGAACATTTGGAATCCTATATTACTAAAACAATTAAGATTAGAAACCACATAAGAATTCAGAAGATCTTCCGAGATAATAAATCAAATCGATCGCGCTAGATTCTTTATTGATTTTAAAAATAAATTTAAAAATAAATAATATTGGTGATGCTTCTGCTAGAAGAATTTATGATTTTTCTGGTTAAAGATTTTACTGATATCGAGCAGCATAGTTATCTGCGAAAGGAATTGTGAAGATAGAGGAAGTTACAAAGATCGCGCTAAAGCAATTCGAGAAATTTCTCATGATTGATGCAAAATACCATTTGCGTTGCTATTACTGTCGGAACGTTTGACTGATCGAACATCATTTGCCTAATGGACGGTATATGGAAATTGCGAATTACATAAAGGCCACGGAGCACGAACTTGTGCACCTATGACGAATTCAAACAGCAGCTCGTTATCGCGCGCTTGGCTGCGAGCGAATTGCTGCCGTTGCGGAGACACTCGGCAGGATACGGCGAACAACAATTTTAATGAAGCCGAGACGCCACTGCGGGAGGAAACGGAGACGCTTCTGCACCGTATCGCCTTTACCGTCTGGCATACTGCCCTTCATATAGAGAGCGAGGTGCGTGCGAATCGTACGTGCATGCGCGACGTGTGTACATCAATTAGTACGACATAGTCATGTACAGATTTTTCAGAGATTTCTGTTTAGCAAAAATAGAACGTCGTTTAAACACTGTGTTATTCGAAAATATTAAAAAAATTTTCGTAGACATATGTATTCTTATATAAATATCAAAAACTTTTTAAAGTCGCGCTGTTATTATTAGATAAACTATATTTAACCTTTTATTTGAATAAGCTTTCAATTATAACTTTTTTACGATATTAGAAATGATAATAGAAACATGCTTTTTTTCGATCTCTATTCATTTTTTTTCTTTTATATAACTATAATATCGCATGTGTATCGTAGCGTGACAATTCGATATGTGATATTTAATAGGTTTTGACAGGTTTCAATCGATGCCGACTATGCAACCGTTTTTTTAGGAATATCGAACACAATACGTTACTGCGGCACCTGCCGTTGCATAATTTTTCTTGCAATAATGGAATCGACAATGGGAACAACTTACCGTATATCATTAATTTCGAAACAATGGATAATAATGTCACCTACTTCTCTTGAGACAACGCCCATGAAGAAAGTAATAGTATTTTCTACGCACCAAATAGAAAGTTAATAAAATGAAGCTATTATTTACACGTATTTCCTTGATCACAGAAAACACTGAAATAATATTAGCGCGGCATTTTTACATACAATTTTTACATCATAAAATTTTACATTCAATTTTTTTATTAATATTGCGAGAATGATAAGTAATAATTATATTTCTGTTATTTTATAAATTTTAATTATACGAAGATATATAACACGTGTTACTACATTTTTATACATTATGGATATAAACGTGTTAATTAACTGTTTTTCTTTTTGATTACAGCACAATGGCGGTTACGAATCACAACCGAAAAATGTTAACCACATCACGAGAAGTAAGCAGCAAGTAAGTATTTATGTTCGTTTCTAAACATTATTTATTGCAACTTATAATTCCATATAAAACTAATATCAAAGAAATTAATTAATAGCAACACTAAAAATTATATTTGTTAAAAATATATTAGATAGCTATATTATTCTAAAAGATAGAGGTGATGAAAAACGAAAGATGATCAAAAGAAATCTTCCCACAAGCTAGATCAAAGGCTTTCTATCTTATTCACATATAATTTATCGTCATCAATGAAAGCTCGCGATTCATCACCAACTCGTCTGTTTAAATATTTAATAACGATACACGCGCGTGACCGGTTTTCATGTCGATGATGTAAGTGCCTTTATTTATTCTGTAAGAACATATATACGAAGGTAAAGCTGCACTTATATTTGAAATATACGATTTCTGTCGTGAGACTGCGTGTTCTGTTAGATAACATTTTGCTATATAAATTACACGAAATGATACTCAACAATTTGTTGTCTTTCTTTCGACTCGTCTAGCACTCAAAACGTTTTCAAAATGTAGAAAGTGGAGGACACGTGACCTTTCCGAAACATTGAACTTGGAATAATGCTTTCGTCGAATTGAAATGGAAATGAATCTTTTAAATACTTTTTTCACACACCGGAAGTTCTACGTCACTTGCCTCGTTTCTTGCCACGATATTAAAATAGAATTATATATCGAATAGAAGATTCCCTATCGACCGCAGAGTCGACCTTTCGGCTCTCACATATGCGGAATATGGGGTAAAAAATAAACGATACGAAATTTAATTGCGTTAGCAATTTAATCTGGGAAATCGCATTAAATCACGACTCGGCTAAAATTCGTAATAGCCTTAATTGCGCAGATCAAACTGAAACACGCGTTACACAAACCGCCATTTACAACGTCAGTGAAATAACTTTCTATTAGTACGCGAGGAGAAAGAATATTAATATCCGACTAGTAATCATTACGCTAATTATTCTCCTTCGCTCTTGCAATCGGCTGATTTCCTAAATTTATTTATTATCCTTAAATCGATTCTGTAAATCAATCTCAGACATTTATCTACCAGTCAAGATTTCTTTAGAAATCAGGAAAATAATAACGATTCTAAATTTCTCATTTAATTTCTAACCCGTGCCTTTCGATCAATTTAAAATTCAAAACAACAGAAATAATGAAAATGTTTTTGAAATACCGCTGTCTCGCTGTCGGGTGGCATTTCCTGCGCGTAAATGACGGTGCCACTGAAAGTTATGCGCTAAAATAGCAATAAGGCGACGCATTATACGGCTAGTCAGTATCGGCTACGATGTACCGTCGCGATAACCCGTGTATGTTGACGTCGGATGGATAATATATTCGCGAAACTCGCACTTATTCGTATACGAATCACCGCTATTACTACGGAAATATATGCAGAAGGAGCGATCATTGCTATTTTTGTGTAATACATAGAAAGTTACAGATTTTTATACAGTCAAATCTTATATACGATTATATGTTATAAAATATAAAAATAAAATATTTTTTTTTTTTATGATAAGTTACTAATGTAAGACACATTTTTATTAATATATAGTGGATCTTTTGCGTATAATAATATATACTTTTTAATATTATTATTTGTTTATCATATTTTTAATATAACAAAGATATTTGACATTTATATTTAGTAACATATTTTGGAATACGATCAACCAAGATTAATATTAAATTTTTTAATCATGTTAATTAATCGCACAGATTCATTCCCCGGAAACTATCATTCACAATTACATCACAGTTATAAACCGTGCAAAGAATAGTGAAGGTGAGACATGTTAGAAGCAGTGATAATTATGCGGAATAGCAATTAGCGTACGGTAAAAACTATTGCGCAGCTGTTATCGCGTTTGTTCTTATTTCTCGCGACATTGAAGATATTTATCGGTCATTTTTTTCATATATTGCATCGTATTTTTACTTGCTTTACAAAAGCTTAGGCGTAAAAATGATCTATATTAATAACATTTTTCAAAAATAAAAAATGCTGTTTAAAATTCAATAACGTATGATTTAAATTCAATACTGTATGATTTAAATTGCCACATTTTTATAAAATAGTTTTGCTTTACATAAGCAATAGAAATAAAGTCCATAACAGTCGAGGCTGGAGTTTCAGTACTTAATATATAATTCGGTGTGAATTTGTTTTTTTTTTCAGTTTTTTTTAAATTAATTTTCTTTTCAATCAATTACGATGACAATTCGTTTCCGATGTAGAAGTAGGAATAGCTTCTGCAAATGACTTCTAAATAATAAAATAATATAACACAAGAACATAGAGAATAATCTAGCCATATCATTATTATCAGTCTTTAACATAATTGATGAAGATTATGCTCTCATTTGAACATTATACTTCCAATTGGAAATTAACCACGAGCAATTAGATAGATTAACGGTAATTGACATTAGTGGCGAAGCTCGTTGCGTGCATCTTGCTTCCATAATCGCATAGAATTAATGTCGGTGGTAATATAACCCCGATAGAGCCTTATATCTCCATAGAATTTTATATCCTTATAGAATCTTGTTTTAGAATGTTTTAGAAAATTTGCACCTTTCACTTTTCGATTTTTAAATATTTTTCCTTAAACCTTGTAAGAGAATAAAATATCTAGAGATCTTTAATGAGGACATTAAAATAAAAAAACATAAATTAAGAATATCAAAGAAGTATTTGATACTTTTATTTTTTACACAAATTTATTAATTGTTACATTTAGTAAGTAAATTACATTTTGTAATTTTCTCAAAAGTAAGTTTTCTATTCTTGATATTCTGATCCATTCCACTCTATTGCCACTGGTGGATCCAATACCGTTAAGTATCTCAATTTTAATAATTTATTTTTTCGTTTCCATTATGAAACTTTGATTTTAAGCGATGTTACAACTTGTTTTCATCGACGCTTGACAAGGCAATATTCTTGTTTTCTGAGATGGGAGGGGAAAGCTACTTCGCCCGATCCGGCGATTGAGTGTGAAATCATAGACCTTAGACTTAGGGGTACACGCACGAGGTTTCCGCATAGCGACAACTGCGGTAGAACGTAATTTCACACGTGAGCCTATAACGGCCAAAAGGGATTTATGAGCGGGTGGGTAGGCCTGGTTGCACGCCCCGCGAGAAACGAACTCGCGGCGTTATGATCCCCATAAAAATCAAGTATTATACTTATTTTTAGAGGTAGCCGCCTCGCTCTTATTCTCTCGCTCGTTCAACTCGTTTTACTTTCTTTTCCGTGACGCCTATTGTTAGTGGCCCTTTATATTTCTGAAACTCAGACGCGAACCTAATAAACTCGTTCTTCACCTTGTTCTTTTCGGCTTTCAACTGTGTTTGTTTCGGATATAAATTGCTTGCGCACCTTATCCGAAAACGTGTCGCGCGTACAGAAAACCCAATTTAATGTCTTTTCATTATATTTATTTCAGTATTACATACGGAATTATTCGTAAGACTTAGATTGTATAGTATTAGATAGGATTGCGTAATTACATATGCAACTACATGTACAGAATGACATATGCATGTACACTACAGGCGTTTCGGTTCTACACACTGTCTCTCGTAATTGGTTATAATACTATAGTCCAGTGTACAAAGGCTTTACCTGCTGAAGGGAACCATCCGCGGAGGATTGTTGAATACAGTTGGAAATTATGCTGCGTTAATACGGAAAGGCCAACTTGTCAAACGGAATATACTATATATTACGTCTGTTGAGCAGAGAATTATTTATTAGTATGATAAAATTCCTCGACGGGACACGACAAACGAGTGCTTAAGGGATAAATACAAGCAACGTATAATCCGGTATAAATCATGCGAATAATTTTAACAAGCGCCATCAATAACAGAGTATCTCACCGGCGATGGAGTATCTCGGCCGTTGAAGCCCTATAAATGACTCGGCTAACCAACGAAGCGTTCGCCGCGGATGTTCATCGAGAAAGAAACCGCAGCAACCGTGCAAAAACGCAGAACTTACATCTGGCTCGTTTGCGCGCCAACTCCTCCGTGTAATTTTCGCACGTTCCCCACGACAAATCATCCGCGCAGCTTTCCGCGACGCACGTTTCCCGAGGCATTTCGTGCATCATATTAAGACGATCTAGCACCGACTACAGCTCGACTGCTAGTGCGAATAGCGTGACTATTTGGTGGGAATCGAAGTCACGCTACCTGCACGAATTCGTTACATCACGCGTCCACGCGCTAGCGAGTGCTCCCGTCTATATTCAGGGCCGCTTCAATGCATTTGGAATAAGAAACGTTCGCGTTAAAATAAAATTGAGAAGTTGCTCGCAAAACCTCTTTTCTCCTTAATAGTCTGATGCTTTTTCGTTTTAAATAATTTAGGAGATTAAGAAACTGACTGAAGAAACTATGGAGTTGAATTAGAAAAAGAGACCTGTCATCAAAAATTGCCTGAATTCGGAAGATTTTATAAATTAACGTAATATGGGATAAAAATATACTTTATAATTTATTACAAGAAAATGGCTTTAAAATGTGTATCAGAAGAAATAAAAAAAATTCTAAATATAAATAGAGTCGCTTGTTATTCTATGAAACTTTCCAAGTTAAAAATGATATCGCAATACAATTAATGCCTGCAAACCGAAGGCTTATTTTCAACTGTTAATCATAGTTGCATAATTATAACGATGTCGAAAATGTATTTAATGGCGCATGTTTTCGATACGCAAATAAACATTGCAGAATGACGATGACGATGCCAGGCCGACCCTGAAGCACGCGAGCTGGCATACGTCAGACATACATGACAGCGGCGCGATTATCCGACAAAACCGCCGACTGGCCACTGAATATTCCTGTGTATCTTTAGTAGAACCAGGCGAAACACAATACCTGGCAGTGTATCGCTCCGCGGCATGAAACACTGCGCGTCATCCCAACGTATCTCTACGTCCTCGTTTCTCATGGCGGGATAAACGTTAACCCGTTAAGGCACCGGGATTACATGTCGATTTACTTCGCGATAGCGTGTTCTCCGCAAGGACATCGCCATGCCGGAGAATATTGTCATCAGGATCGTCTACGCGCCAAAGTACTCAAAGGTGGATAGAAATTCCATGTCGCGAATCGACGATGGATTTACCGTAAATCCTTGTCGAATTATCAATTATTCGTGTATCTGATGTTGAAATAGTGATTGATGCAGTTGCAGTTGGGAGTGTGCTTGATAGAAGCGATGTACATCGTACAAAAATTGTTTAATTACACTGAAAAAAAGAATCTGGTAGTTATAGCTATCGAGTGGTGAGTAAAATAAATTCAATCAAATATTCGGTTAACCAAAAATAATTTGACTTTTCTAAATACTTAGTAATTATTACCAAACGATTGATTATATTATTATGTTTGGTAATATAATACTTATTAAATATTTAGAAAAGAATTCTTTTAGTAAATAAGAATTATTTATATTAATTGAATATTTGAATTTATTTGCTCAATATTTAATAGCCAGATTCTTTTTTTAGTATAAAATTTTGAAGAATATTTAGTAATTAAAATTTAAATTATTATTTAAAGATATTGCATAAATTGTTTATTAAAAATTGCAACGTAAAAATTTTTAAATATAACAAACTTTTATAATAAATTTTTATAACAATTTTTTGTAGATGCTTTATGTGTTCTACATTTAAATTGTTAGAGCTGTTATCTACAATATTATTTTAAAAAGTTTATTATTACGTATCGGTAGCAATTTATTTTATATCGTATGTCTATCGAAGCTATTAGAAAGAAAATAATGAAAGACTTCTTCCAAGTAAAGACCAAAGAAATAAAGTCTATTTTCAGGGAGAAAATTTGATTATTTGATATGATATTGTTTTACGGAAAATCTAAGTTTTTGCGGCGATAAAAAACAAATCTTATGGAAAAGTTTCCGTAAAACTCGATAAAATTCAGTGAACTAGATTCGCTCACGAAAGGATTCTTCTTAAAACGAATTTAGAAAATTTTATTCGCTACGAGCGAGAATTTTCGTTAGAAATAAATTAATAATTTAATGATAATGCAAAAGAAATTAAAAATTTTACAATAATTATTTTAAGAGATGACTTTTAAAAATGTAAATAATAATGTATGTTTGATACTGTAATTTTTTAATTTTATAGAAAAAATATTTTAAAGCAGGTTACTTTTTATTTATCATTATTACTATTTAAATTAATTTTTAAAGATTTCCGTTATGGATTGTACATAATATTTGCAAAACTGTAAAAATTTTTTATTTGTTATATTTGAATA